TCTAGTTAGTTCAAAGTGATCAAGTCATTAATCATGGCTACATGATTTACCAACCACTACGAAAGACTCAAATGGCTACTTGTGCCTTATGTCGCAAACATTATAATATGAGTCTTAATTTATTTCTGTTCAGAGGAGTTTCGTGGTGTGATGATTCATTGGCTCTGGTTTATGAGTCTTGGTACAAGACACGGAGGACAAGAACCTGGGTTATTTCTCCTGGATCCAAGGACACAAATCCTCGTATACTATTTGATAGGTCATCTGAAGATGTGTACTCAGATCCTGGTTCTCCAATGCTTCGAAGAACGCCAGCCGGGACCTATGTCATTGCAAAAGTGAAGAAGGGAAACGATGAAGGCACTTGTGTCATATTGAATGGGAGTGGTGCAACACCAGAAGGGAACATCCCCTTTCTTGATCTTTTTGAAATGTAAGTTTCTGAAAGTCCATAATCTCCATTCTCCAGCAGGTTTTTGCCTTTTAACTCTCAAGCATTGGCATTGTTTTCTGACTCTTGTTTATTCAGAAATACGGGCAGCAAGGAACGAATATGGCAGAGTGACAAAGAAAAGTATTTCGAGACTGTTGTTGCTTTAATGTCCGATCAAAATGATGGGGACATTAGTCTTGATCAATTGAAGATCTTAACTTCAAAAGAGTCAAAAACTGAAAATACACAGTACTATATTATGAGCTGGCCAGATAAGAAAGCATGTCAAATTACAAATTTTCCTCATCCCTATCCTCAATTGGCCTCTCTCCAGAAAGAGATGATACGATATCAGAGGAAGGATGGGGTTCAGCTTACAGCAACACTTTATCTGCCACCAAACTATGATCCATTAAAAGAGGGTCCTCTTCCCTGTCTATTCTGGTCATATCCTGGAGAATTTAAAAGCAAAGATGCTGCTGGACAAGTCCGTGGTTCTCCTAATGAATTTGCTGGGATAGGTCCGACATCAGCTCTTCTTTGGCTGGCTAGAAGGCATGGATTTTCATTGTCATTTTCCTTCTTTCCCATTTCTCTTTCAGTTTCCTGGCGTCTGTATTGACTGATTTATGGGAATTTAAGACTGGTAAATAATTGTTTTAAGTTTTATCTCTTCTAGGTTTGCTATCTTATCTGGACCCACTATTCCGATCATTGGTGAGGGTGAAGAAGAGGCAAATGATAGGTAAAGCAATACTTTTCTGTTTGGATAAAGTTAATCTTCATGTTCAAGAGTTTCCTCTGTGCGATAAGCTAACAAAAGCCATTTCTTGGCAAGAAAGTATAGGTCTTTAGAGACAGTTGTATTAGAGATGTTTTGCTAAAATCAGATGGTTGTGGAGTTCTTTTTTCTGAATAGGATTTGCTTAAAGTTAAGTTATACACCTATGGATGCATTACTTGTGAATGCTTCTAGTGTATGCATCTCCTTGTTAGTCTGTTTCCTCCTTTACGGCAAATGATTACTTGTGGTACTTTCTCCTTAGCCTTTCTGGCTGCTTTTATCCCCCACTCCTTTTTGTCCAGGTTCTGATTTTCGTACAGTGTATTTTCTGGCACTAAAATCTAGTGAAAAGGTCAACCTTGAGAAGTTGTGTAAGAATAAGTTGCTACCCTGTAGCTCTTTTGGCCCGTGCCTTTGCTTTTGAGTGAAAATGAATCTGTAAATTGTGAACATTGTGCTTTTAAATGTGAAATGGTTGATTTTAGTATAGTTTCAACTGTATTATTATTATTACTTGAGTAAAAGTTCCAAAAAGATTTAGGACAAACTTCCAAACACTCTATCCAATAGAAGCCACATGCTAAAACTAAAAGTCAAAAGCCACAGCCAAGAAGCCTGAGCCACCTCAAGTAGGCTCTTAGACCTCAACCAAAAAACTGTGCTAATAATAGCTTTATATTATTGATATGTATCTATGTTTTGGCACCATTCGTTTGTCAGGTATGTGGAGCAATTGGTTGCAAGTGCAGAAGCTGCTGTGGAGGAAGTCATTCGTCGTGGAGTGAGCTCCTCTTCTCTTTCCAATCCACACAATTCATGTAAATGAGATTATTTTGACTGGTTCATTTATATCATTTGCTGATTAAGGTTGCTCATCCAAACAAAATTGCCATTGGAGGACACTCATATGGAGCATTTATGACTGCAAACCTCCTTGCACATGCCCCTCATTTATTCTGTTGCGGAGTAGCTCGCTCTGGAGCTTACAACAGGACACTCACACCTTTTGGTTTTCAGGTAGGCCAGTGGTTGGATTCTTAAAGTATTTCTTGTCTGACTTGACCATGTGTCTTCTGAAGTTGCTTTTTCTTACTTATGTATGAGCGCTGACAACGGGCACTGTGCCTCTTTGTTTGTATAGAATGAGGACAGAACTTTGTGGGAGGCTACTAATACATATGTGGAGATGAGTCCTTTCATGTCGGCTCATAGAGTAAAGAAACCAATCTTGCTTATCCATGGAGAAGAAGATAATAACCCAGGAACACTAACTATGCAGGTATACATATGTTTCCGGGTCTAGTTTGAGGTTTATTTAGAGAAAATTGTGCTGATTTTATACACAATACTCTTGGGTGGCGTCTTTGTATTTTCATACCATCATATGATTGATTTTTCTGATTGCAAATGCAAAATCACTAACCTGCTCGCCACTTTGATTTGTGTTTGTGTTTGTTGCAGTCAGACCGCTTTTTCAATGCTTTAAAGGGTCATGGTGCTCTTTGTCGCCTTGTAGTTCTTCCCTATGAGAGCCATGGCTATGCCGCTCGTGAGAGCATCATGCATGTCCTGTGGGAAACTGATCGGTGGTTACAGAAGTACTGTGTATCAAATGCTTCTGATGTAAATGCAGATCCCAATGCATGTAAAGATGATGGGAGTAAAGGAGTGGTGGGTTCAGAAGCCAAAGTAGTTGCCGCTAGTGGTGGCGGTAACCCTGAGCTGGCTGATTTGGATCAGGATCAGTTAAAATGCATTCCAAGATCATTATTGTGGTACTTACTACATGCTTTCAGAGAAATATTCCAGCATCATTCTATGTTAGGGTCATATCATCATTTATATCAAGTACTGCCACTTTTACTGAGGTTATCATGAAAGGAACGATTAATACTTAATTAAATGATCGCAGAAGCACTGTTGTAGATATCTCTTTTCTTCTGTGTTCTTTGCCCACTTGGCACATATGTTTCAATGGCCCCTTAATTTCTTTTCCCTTTGTTTTGAACCGAGTATTTTTGGAACCCTTAGAGAGATTCGATTTGAAATCTGTGGTGTGCATCTTAAAGAGCTTCATTTCATGTATAGATAGATTAATCATTTGGATTTTTTTGAATTAACTTCATAGAGTGAATTAGCAGATCATGGATGGGATATCTCGTATGTACTTACCTTCTGAATTATTGTAACTTGCAGAGGAATGGAAGATGCACATAGAAGAAACTTGGATCGGCAGCTGTGTCTGTAAATGGTTTCTGAGCAGATCAGACTCTTTCCTGAAGGGCAACGCCTACCTAATGATTGACTGCTTTGAGGATATTTGACTGGCAACGCTGCACTCAAGAGTCCTCCAGAATTCATTTGATTTCACTGCGAGTTGTCGAATCGGAAAGGATCGGTTCAGGTTGTGCCTTCATCAGATATCTTGCACGAAATGTTGTTTAATTCACAACGGAGCTGCTGCTGCAAAATGCAGAGGTCTCCGACGCAGTAAAAACATGCTGCGGTTCGATTGTATGGCTTCATCTTTCAGTCAATATATCATGGAAGACCCGTGAGCTTTGAATGTCGATTGCTCATGTAATTTACACAGTAATAATGAAATGCTCGAATTTGTACTCAATGAAGTATTGCCGCGCTGGGAAATATATGTCATGGACAACTTGGGTATTGGTTTTTCTTTTCTTGCTTTAGGATGGTTCTGTTCTGGCTCTGCTTTGCTTTTGCCATTAAAGTTTACCGTGTTGTGCTATGTGGTGACTCGTTACAACCTTTACCATGTTTAAGTGATTTACACGCACGCAAAATTACAGTTCTCGTCACTGGTTGCAAGAATTACAAAGTGCTGCTATTCATGTTTAGCTGGTAGTGCTATGGGGTGAATATGTAAGTATCGCACATTTACCAATCAAGAATATGGTAGAAGTTTTTGTACGGTACGTGTACTTACAGGTTGAAATGCTATCTTCCTTAGTCATGCCCAACTTTTTTCTGTCTAGAATTTATGTAGGTTTAAAAAGCATTAAGATCATTTAGAGAAAACGGTGGGAGCAAGAAAAGGTAGAAGGTACCCCACTATTCCCTTTCGAAAATCCGGTTAGGCGTTCCGTGGTGCTTTATTGCTTTTGAAGTATGTTGAATATTCAATTTTCTAGCTCAGCACCTGGACGTCACATGCGAATCGTACCGATTGCGTGTCGTGTTCTCGAGTCATCCATAAATAAGAAAAAAACCTACATTGAGCGGTTGATTTAATAGCGAAAAAGAAGATAATTTCGAAACTTAATAAAAGGCAAGGATACTTAAATTCAAGATTTGATGGGAAGGCCTAAACTGGCTTTTTCATTCGTTGCGCACCGATTTTCTTTTCTATTACCATCAAGTGGTATTTCGATCTAAATTTTGCATATAATAAGTAAGCATGACCGAAACATTCAAGGGACTCTAAATTGGTATGGCCTTGTAAAGGTATGGTGAAATTTGGAATCAAAACCGAGAGTCGGGTGCTCATCGAAGCACAAAATTGCAGTCCATTTCGAGCTTTACTATAGTTACTTCTCCTAGTCCTAGACGCCAACGAGGTTTCAATTTCACTTCACGAGCATGACGATGGTAATGAAGAAATCTTAGTACTTTGCTTTATTTTTATTATTATTATTATGACAATTGTTACAATTACTATTACTATCATTTGATAAACTAACTGAAAGTTTCCAAACTCCCACCACCTATTATTCCCCTCGCGCCCGACACTCAACTCAAAACTCAGAACGCCTCTCTCTGTCTCTCTCTCTCATGGCAGCATCTCTCTGGGCGGCTTCCACGACCACAAAAGGCGGCCGTTCTCGGCGTGGTGCGGCTCAAATCGTGTCCTAACCTCAATTGCGATGGCAAGTTCCTCGTGGCGTCCTGGCAGCGACAAGAGCTAGATCTCAGGAACATTTCCTAGATGGGAGTATAAACTAGGGAGTATAATAAGTAGGCGAAGACCTGCTCGTGGACACGGTCATCAAGCTTACGTAGCAGTTGCATAGTGAATCGGTCAGGTGCTTGTGTGGATGTTGCAAAACTTGAGCTCGAGGAAGAGGCTCTAATCCGGCGCTTTGATGGACCCCAGATTCATTCAATGCATCGATATCGATAGATATCGATCGATCTCTCTCCAAATCCCGACATCGATGCTTTGCTGGAGAATTCTTCCTTTCGGGTTCGAATTTCTCGTGCGGAGCCCGGTGCTTGGGAAGATCGGATCGACTTTGACAGGAGGCAAATGATGGTGCAGCTAGTGGGAGGATGGACGGGGACAAAGCTCGGCATATGGATCGGCTCGGTAGAGACGTGGTTTATAGCGGCTCTATGGATGTGGAAGGATGCTGATCGTTTTTCATGTGATAGTTGGACGAAAGCTTTTTTGATTAAGAACTTAGTTACTGGAAGTTAGCTTGGCCGTTACGAGCGAGCATGAAGAATCCCACTCACTAGTGTAGTTTTGAAGGCTCGAAAAATGTCGGCCCCGAGATCGTCCGATCCTCCCTCGTGAGCAGCGCGAAACCAAACTTTGTGTTCGGTCGAGCCCCGGCGGGCACACCGTGGTGGTGCCGTAAAAGCGGGAAAACTCAGGCTCCCGTCCGTCGGGCAAGGCGCCGTGGGTGCTTCCTCGAAGCCATGGCCGCTCTCTTTTCCCACTCGCGACATGGCCGCCGTGGAAGCAGGGCGGCTCATTTCCGTCAGGTCACCCCATGCCTTGACGACGCGCCTTATTTCCGACCACCACCACGAATCGCGGCTCACGTCACGGCTCCACCTCGCGGCCGGGGATTGCCGTCTCAGCCCCAAACAGCGAACCTCAAACCGAAACCACGCGATTCACGCACCTAAACCCAGTCAGACCATGTTCATCGGATTTCGTTGCTACCAGGATGCTCCGTGGGAATTTGCTCCTAGAATCGAGCCCGAGCACACGGTCTTAGCTGCACCACGCTGATACTAGCGGCCTCCGTCGCCGTGGAAGCAACTAAGGCCTTCATTGCCATTCGCCAATAGTCAATACAGCTGTCGGAGGGCTCATCGTCCCCGCCCGGTTTTTGAATCGCCGCCAAAATTTAAGCCCCGGGGCTCATTTTTGGGCCGCCCGTGTCGCACTAGCCAAAATTTAATTGAGTTTAGGTCGGGCCACTTCAAGCCTTTATTCGAGACGGAGTTCGGTTCAGATCACTGTTTTGAAAAAAAAAACCACCGCTCCTGCTTCGGCCCTTTATTTGAAATTTACTCGAGGCAAGCGGGCGCGCGCGCGCTGCGGCCCGGGTAGAATCCACTTTGATTCCACAAAGTGTTTGGTTGGGCTTTGCCAAGGAGCTTTGAGCCTCCAAAGCCCTTTGGGGGAATTATTTTGTGTTTAGCAAATCATTTTTGGAGTTCTTTGGCCAAATGCTGGCCTTCTCAATTTGAAAGCCCAAGGTGGTCCGGACCGATCACTGGGCTTTCAAGCATTCCACGAATGCTACTGTTTACCTTTTTTTTTTTTTTTTTTTTTGGGTTGAATCATTCTTCACCAGGCATGGCGAGGGTGGCCGCGAGGAGAGCGGCCGGCGAGGTCGCGGGGTCGAGCGACCGCCGGCGGCCGCCGGGCGACGCCGATCCCAGGCGGCCGTCGCAGGTCGCGCGACCCGAGCGACGGCCGCTGAGGTCGCGCGACCCAGGCGGCCGTCGCTGGGTCGTGCGACCCCGCCGAGGGTCGCCTGCCTCGGGCGGCCGCCGGCGGCGCAGATCTGGCTCGTCGGCGGTAGCCCGAGGTCGGGCGACGCCGCGAGCAGTCTGCCGGCGCGGCGGCCGTAGGCCCTCGCGGCGGCTTGCTCCGGCGACGGTGGGTTTGTTTTTTTTTTAATAAATAAAATAATTCTCAAAGTCCATTTGCAAAAAAAAATTCACCAAACACTATATTTTGGCCAAAGTAGCTTTAAAAAATATTTTTACCAAACACCATTTACATTTGCGTAAGGGCTTTCACTCAAACATATTTGCATTCCCCAAAGAAGATTTTCAAAGTTGAACCAAACGCCCAAATGCAACCCTATCGTTTTCCATCGAAGAAGACGATGGACGTGGGCTATTTTAAATAGCCCATCGTTCCATTGAAACGATGCCTACTTCGTTTTCATCGCCTCTTCCCTCTCCCTCTCTCTCCTCCTCGAGACCCTGCAGGTTCTCGCCGCTCCGTGCGCCTTGGCCCACCTGAGAACTCGGCCGGCCGCGCGCCCCCCGTCCGCGACGATCATGTCCTCCTCGAGGCTCCGCGGCTTCGTCACCGCCGGCTCCGCCGAGAGGAGCGGCGGCGATGGCGGCGATGGCGCCGCTCCTGATGCCGCCGCAATCGGTCCCGGTCTCGGCTATTACGAGGACGAAGGTAGCTGATGTGGTCCGGAATTGAATTCTCGTCCGTTTTGCTTTTTGTTTTTTACCATGTCCGAGTGGGGTTGTGTCGTCTGGTGGTCGATTATTCTCGGAGTAGGCACACAATGAGAGTGAATTGCATGTGGACTATATATAGTCTGATAGCCGTTAACGCCGGAGATTTCAGGAGTTGAAAAATTGCGATCTATGCGGAAGGGAATTAGCCAAGACGGGAAGAGAGTAGAGGCGTTCGGCAATTATCCGTTTCGAAACGGGAGGTTTCATAGGGAAAAAAGCTTAATTTCAAGTGAAAGGTGGTTTCCCTAGACATCATCGAAGTGGCAAGAACGAACTCTGTTCGAGTACAAATCCAATTTGAGAGCTTCTTTTGTCTTCCCCTTTCCCGCGAAATATTATTACATTACGAGTAGGTCACTTCAATCGAAAAAGTGTTGCCTGGCAATATGTTAAGCTTGGTTGTTTGCATTCGTCAATAAGAAGTACTTAGAAGTACAACTCTCTGTCATGGGGGGGAACCATGCTTGCTTCAACCCTCTGATTTTCTGTTGGCAGACTGAACCTTGAAATTAATTCTTTACATTTCAGGCCTATTGTTTTCAACATTCTGAATACACAACTTTCCCCAGCATGCACTCGAACGGTCTTGGATTTAATTTTTTGGGGCTATTGTTGCTGTACAATACCCAGTAGCAGAATACTCATCATGAATTACATAATGCAGGTTCGGCACTGGGTGGTGCATATCGTCTTCCTCCGCCAGAAATTAGAGATATAGTCGACGCTCCACCACGTCCCGCATTGTCATTCTCCCCACAAAGGGATAAAATTCTGTTTTTAAAGCGGAGAGCTTTACCACCTTTAGCTGAGCTTGCAAGACCAGAAGAGAAGCTGGCTGGCATCCGTATCGATGGAAAGTGCAGCACCAGGAGTCGGATATCATTTTACACTGGTATGGGGATCCATCAGTTGTTGCCTGATGGTAAATTAGGGCCAGAAAAAGAAGTGCATGGGTTTCCTGATGGTGCAAAGATCAACTTTAACACCTGGTCAAATGATGGTAGACATTTGTCCTTCTGCATTCGATTCGATGAGGAGGACAATAGCAGTAGTAAGCTTCAGCTTTGGGTTGCTGATGTGGAAACAGGGAAAGCCAGACCATTGTTTGAGTCACCCGAGATATGCCTAAATGCAGTTTTTGGCAATTTTGTTTGGGTAGATTACTCCACACTAGTAGTTTGCACAATACCCTTGGGCCGTGGAGAACCGCCGAAAAAACCTGTGGTTCCTTGTTGTCCAAAAATCCAGTCAAATGAGCAGAAGAATGTAATTCAGGTTGAAACATTTCAAGACCTGCTGAAGGATGATTTTGACAAAGATTTGTTTGATTACTACGCCAGGTCTCAACTTCTTTTGGTTACTTTGGATGGGAAAGCTAAGGAAATTGGTCCACCAGCTGTATATACCTCAATTGACCCCTCTCCAGATGGGAAGTACCTTTTAATAACCTCAATTCATAGGCCATACTCTTTTGTTGTACCTTATGGAAGGTTTCCCAAGAAAGTAGATTTATGGACTGCGGACGGACAATTTGTCAGAGAACTTTGTGATTTGGCCCTTGCAGAGGACATCCCAATTGCATTCAATAGTGTGCGCAAAGGGATGCGCTCAATCAATTGGAGAGCTGATAAACCTTCTACCCTATACTGGTAATTGTCTGAAAATGTTTGGTGTTTCGTTTCTGCTCCTTTTCTGTTTACTTTTTGTGTCAGTTTGATAATAAAAGAATTCACACCTTCCTTTTGGTGGCCATTTTCATTCTATTTTGTGAAGAAATGTAAAGGCACATAAAATTGCATTAGGCATTCACTATTAGCGCTCGCATGGGGATGGTGAAAATGAGTGATGAGACTGCCAAGTTCCTGCATGCTGTGTAGATAATACATGCCTTCTTTGCAGCTTTCCTTTCAGGAAGTCTGCTTCTCATGCTTACGCTTCTGATGATTCGTAGTTCTGCAAAGAAGGGTAGATAATGGGGATCCGAGTAAATATCAAGCAGTGACATATTAGGATAGTTCTTGGTCTGTGCTTTTCTTTCTTAAATGTCCATGGTTCATTTCAGGGCCAAGAACTTTCCACATTCTCTCACTTAAGGAGCACTTGTTACAGACTTATTTGGATAAGATGTGTCAAGTTGATTAGCAACACTTCTGCGTAATTTTCTAAATTTCCCTTCTTCTGAATATTCTATCATTTGGTTTATCATAATGACAATGTCAGATAATGTGACGTTTGACAGAATTAGTTGATGCATTATTACTGGTTTATACGTACGTAGCTTCTTTTTAATTGATTTAAGGCATATAGGGTGGAGACACAAGATGGGGGGTGATGCGAAAGTCGAAGTTTCTCCACGAGATATAATTTACACACAACCAGCTGAACCACTTGAAGGTGAACAACCAGAGATCTTACACAAAGTGGATCTTCGATATGGGTATGAATTGTTTTTCCCTGAGATTGAAGTACTATTAGCAATAACTTCTTCCTGTCGGTTCAAGAGATTCGGCATGCCTCTTCCCTAACTTGTATTATATGTAGTTAGTTCGAAGTGTTTAATTCATGAATTATGGCTACTTGATTTGCCAATCACTAAAAAATGTGCCTTCTGTTGCAAAGATTGTAATATCAAGTTTTAATTTATTTCGGTTCAGAGGAGTTTCGTGGTGTGATGATTCGTTAGCTCTGGTTTGCGAGTCTTGGTACAAGACACGGAGGACAAGAACCTGGGTTATTTCTCCTGGATCCAAGGACAGAAATCCTCGTATACTATTTGATAGGTCATCTGAAGATGCATACTCAGATCCTGGTTCTCCAATGCTTCGAATAACGCCGGCTGGGACCCATGTCATTACAAAAGTGAATAAGGAAAACGGTGAAGGCACTTATGTCCTATTGAATGGGAGGGGTGCAACACCAGAAGGGAACATCCCCTTCCTTGATTTGTTTGAAATGTAAGTTTCTGTAAGTCCATACTCTCCATTCTCCAGCAAGTTTTTTTCCTTTTAAGCTCTCAAGCATTGGCATTGTTTTCTAACTCTTGTTTGTTCAGAAACACGGGCAGCAAGGAACGAATATGGCAGAGTGACAAAGAAAAGTATTTCGAGACTG